TGGTGCCTCCTCATACTAATATCTATGTGTTAAAACAAAAAATAATCGAAGGTCGTACGGTTAGGGATCAGTGCCATTAAAAGGACACAAAACTAGAGGTGAAAGGAAACTGAACTGATATATATGGGTTTTGTTAACATTCAATAACGTAAAAAGAAACTTCACATAATGATTATTTTTGAATTTTGTTTTTGGAAGAAAATGTAGATACATAAATCAGCACATTATTAGTAAAAAAAATTTTTCTTGGCATAATAATGCAAAAAATCGGAACAAACCAAAATGTTCTGTGGTCCCTAATGTGCGGTAATCGTTAAAGTGTTCTGGAAACCATACTCTTCTTCCAGAACGCGTTGTCTTTTGCGGGTGTCAGATACCACCGAAGTTTCATAGTGATTGTTGATACCTGGTGAAATATCGTGATTACGAGACTCGTGTCTTTTGGTTGTACCGAAGGAAACTCTACATACATATGGTTTCTTTCCTAAATATGCAGCCTTGAGGCGATCGACCAGTTTATAAATCACAACTCATAATACTCGAGTCCTAACATTAATATATGAAGATGTTGAAAAATCGTTATGACTGGCTTGTATAATGCTGAAGAGTCTGTATTTTGTTGAAGACAGCCGGTTATTCAGTCGGATTTAGGTCTACGGCACTGTATAAACATCTGTCTGCGCTTCTATAGTAATAAATACTATATCCAAATTGTGAACCTGCCATTACGTGATTACCTGATATTTCTGAACTCCTATGAAGTCATATCATTGTCTACACTGACTCGTTCTACTGGTAGTCGGTGGTTACTTCTAGGGCCTTCTGAAAATATAATATATAATAACATTTTGGCTCACTTTTGTTCCTTGAGATGGATGGTTTGGTGGTGGGGCTTTATTAATTCTTCGGAACGACGTCATCAGCACAAACTTCGGACGGAAGTGAAGCGTTGGATTTTCTCCACATGTGGTTCACAGCTTTTCCTGTAAAAATCGGTGTTGATTGGTTCAGGTTGACAACATCGATGTCTATGGGAAAAGCTGTGAACCACATATGGATAACTTCGAACACCTTACTTTTGCCCGAAGTTTGTGTTGATGATGTCATTCCGAATAACTACTGAAGCTCCACGACCTAACCATCCATCTCAGAGGACGAAATCCCTCAAAAACATCCAAATGAACTACAGATCTTCGCCACTATCTCAGAAAATAACATATTTAATATCAAGGGGTTGTATAGAGTGGTCACGTCATTTTAAATGTATATCTTCTCAATTAACGTGTGTTCGGCTCCAAAAGATAATGTGGTTAGAAGTCAAGGTCACTATGATTCTTCAAATGTTTCTGACCATACATGTTGGTTTGTCTACCCAAATAACCGGTGGGGTTACGCAGTATACCGCGATGGACTATGTGGTTTAAATTAGAATTTTCACGCAAAAAATTGCTACTCACTTATTGATAAATTTAACATTTAGCTATACAGTATGTTTTTCGTAAAATACACAGTGTGAGACATTGAAGTTATATAACCACCATAGTTTGGACGCATGCGAAAAGATGATGGCGAAATAACATGGATTTCATGTATGCTAACGGTAGTAATGGGCGCTCGTTTATTTAAATAAGTTGGATAGTGGAATTCGTATGTATGCAAATATGTATGCAAATTAAAACTTTAGGGAATTCTTAGGAAATCCTAAGAACATGTACAAGTTTGCATAACCCTTATGGCATATAAATAAACAGCAAACAAATTGTTCTTGATATGCTTGCAATTACTAAGCTGAATCGTAATATGAGCGAACCGAAAGTGAACCTTAGTAAAAAAAACAGTGCTCACCAATGTGACTAACGTCTCGACGAGAGTACCGCCACCATTCTAGAAAAGTCTGTTGAATGGAAATGATATAGTTTGAAATGATCAACATCGTTGACTGAGGTTTGATCCTTTATCGACATGGAGATACAGGTCGGTTCAGACTAGCTGTGGAATCCAGGACTTATATTCCGAAAGGGATGAGATCCCTGCCGTGGTTTACGCCGCCAGTAAATTTCCTGGTAGTCTTTTTCAGCAGGTGTCGTAACAATTATGTTGGAGCAGTCTGTAAAGGACGCGCACATGCCAACCAAAACTGTAAATTTTGGTTGAAAATATCAACGAACAGGCAGTGCAAACCGTTTTAAATAAAATTACAAGTCATACACGTTGCCCAAGTTAGTGGCAATCTAGACTCAGCAGCTAAGTGCATTGGCGCTTGAAGTACACGTTACTTGGCTCGAGCCAAAAATTGAGAACCAACTGCGAGACACAGATACAACCATATCATGAGAACAAAAGGGGCAAATCACGTTTATTCGATTTTACCCCCACCTGTATTCCGTCTAATCTATACCGGCTGATGAGAAAGGTTTCACATCTACCAATCATTAACATATCATGTTCTGCAGTTCTATGGAGTCACTTGTCAGGACTTAAGTGAAAGTAATTCGCATAAATGCAACACGCCTTTTTAAATTATGTCACCCTACAAAACACAAATATGCGTAACCTCGATTTAAGTGCAACGGGACTGTTCAATGTGAAAGCAACCATAATATTCAATCAAGCATAATAAACATGGTATAATCTAATCATAGTTATGTGATGGGGATTTGAAGCTCCCAGTGTTTGAAAGTACACAAACATAGAAAAACTGGAATCGAACAAGAAGTAATAATGAGTTAATTCTTGAATTCCTACTGCATTATAGACTGACACGGCATAAGTCTGAATTAATTCAAGCCAAATATGTGGCGAAAACCGAACGAACAATCCAAGCTAAATCACAAACCTCTGGCACTCATATTTTCCTTCTGGCCATAGAACTCAGCAATCAGGCAGGCAGTGGTCAAGTAAAAAAGTTGAATAGGGTAGTTTGTGATGATAAATAACGTATAATATAGAGAACAAAATCATCGGTAGCCGGTCGATTCTTACTAACATCAAGTACACACTTTATATGTATATGTGCCTTGTGGCTATCCTGACAAGTGTTACATATTTTGACAGGGGGATTTGCATGTCGCTAATAATTGTTGAAAAGCAACGATAGCCAAACACAATTGTAGTTGGTTAGTTATTCACACTGGTTGAGCCAGTTAGCTGAGTTTGAAAAACAATCAATGCTAAAATAGGTTGTAATTTAAACACGAGCTTTCGTGCCCCATTTTCCTACAACTGTCCTTGAATTGAATGTTATTGTTTCGTGCCTTAATGTAACCCTCGTGCTATTGATAGAAGAAACCAGAGAAGTAGTGAATAGGTCTTTATTTCGATCTTCGCGCAATCACAGTGGAGCCTGGGATTATCTGTTCAGACAAACAAAGGCTCTCAACATTCAATATAAGATAATAGGGAATATAACGCTTATAAAAAATAAGGAAGTGAACGAATACTTGAACAATACTGTTTTGGCATATGCTTGGTTGTTTGGGGTCAACTCTTAACCAACCAACCTGAGCTGTTACAATTGTACTTTCCCGATTGTTTGTGAGTTGTGGTCACGTTAGTCATCTATTTACCCATATATCCTTTTTATGTTAAGTTGAATAAGGAATATATCAGACAGGTCCCATTATGTTCGTCATCTCTTTTTTGCTTGTCAACCAATCAAGTGAAATAATAGTTTTCGTACACCTGCCGAAGACCGTTAATCTCAATCCAAACTCATTCATTACTGGCTGGAACATGGAACTAGTTGGCACATTGTGTTAGGGCCTTAAACTAGATTGAGACAAGATATAATCTGTATACTATTGAACAGACGGACCAGAAACAACAAATAATTTGGAAGAAGGCTCGGGCCAGTAATCGAGAAATATCGAGTTATAATAAATCTAAGAACTTGGAATTCGTTTATATGCCTGACGAAAACTAATGGTGTATATTAATGTGAAATGATTTACAATGGCAGTAATAAAAAACAATATAAATTTCGACGTTCTGTTACTCAAACCAAGAGGGATGAACTTGACAAAAGATTGACAGTTTTCCAGTCAAGTAAATCGAAAATTTTCGTAAGTGTTGATAATATAGTGGTAGTATGACGGGTTGATCATCAACTTGTGTTGACTTTATTTACAAAATCAGTCAATATCGTTGATAGTTTTTATTTTGTAAATGTTTGTAGATCGCTAACGTAGATGATCTATGTCGAATGATTGGAGGCCTACTCGAGTTAGACGGGCATGGTGTGACGAACCAGCTAATTTCGAAGTCACACCTCGCGGTCAGCATCTAACGTTGAATAGACTTTCGACGTATCAAAGTTCTAAGGCTGCTTTGATGGCTGAACAGCACGAAGGATGTTATTATGCCAATATATATTAGTAAGAATGAGTAAATCGAAGATAGAGAGACCACCACCACATGCTGCAGTCCATGGCATACGATCAAATGATGCACGTCGGTCTACTTTGACGAGGAGCGAGGATCTGTTCGATATTCAGTGACCAAACTACCGGATGATTTGACTAAGGCTTAGTGACATTTCACTGACCCTACATGTTCAATTCTACTTGTAAGTATATTTGGTAGGCTAACTAAAAGTTTAGAAGTGTGACCTTGAAGAAATGAAGTTGTGATTTCGTCGTGGGAAAGTATAGTGACTGAGCAATCAGAGGCCAAGAAATTGATGATTGTTATCACATAGAATAAAACTCGTAGACGAAAGGTTGGAATTCCTAATGGCATAATGAAACTGTCCACACAGAATGAAAAAAGATGGGTGCTGCTATTAGTGCGATAACTTAGCTGAAAAGCACCAAAGGGGAAACAAGAAACCAAAGAGTGTTACTCTCGAGACAAGTTAGCAATAGTGATACGAAACGCTATCGATGTTAAAATAAATGCAGAACATCGTTTGCAGGCTATTTACTCAAACGCATCTATTGATAATTCACGAGAATGAGCGTGTCAACGTAAATTGAACCTGACAGGTTTCAAATCGATGAGTAGTAGGGAGAAGCAATTTCCATTTCATACATGATCGCTTAAGATCCGAGATGCTCAGTGTCAAGGATTAAGTTTGTTTTGACGCGTCGAAATTTTCGATCAATTTGTGCTTGTACTGGCGGTGATTTCGGGAGTGTGGATAATGTAGTATTTCAGAAAAACCGGTAATTTCTGTCTTATTTGTTTTTAATGTGTGTTATATTTTAAACACAAGTAGCAGGCTGGAACCTGTTTTAAAGGACAGATAATAATGATCACTTTTGGGGCAGAAATATGTATAACCTAATTTGTATTTCTTTGTTTTTGGCTAAGAGTTTTTTGGCAAAAAGTACTGTCAAGAATTTACACAGAATTTGTATTAGGGAATCCATGAATTTGGCCTCATCAGAATTGCTGCGTTGTTCTGTTTAGATGTCTCCAATCTTTTTATTTTGGCGAAACTTTAGTGAATTTCGGGCAAATTTTGGGGTTGTCCCCAAAGTCGTGAAAAGTTTTGTAGTTTTCCGAAAAGTTTAAGGAAAAACCCGAAGTGCCATAAGTTTCCGGGGAGATTCTGAGGAAATACTCAAAATGTTGAAGGATTAATTCGAGTAAATTCACTCGTACCTGCGGAAATTTCTGGGTTTTTATGCAATTTCCATGAAGTTTTGTATTGAGGCTTCTCACAAATCTACCGAAAAAAACAATTTTCTCAGAAATAGGTTAGGTCTCTATTGTCACATTATAGGGAAACAAAATCAAGTATATCCAGTCCATTATTTGTACATTCTGTCCTAAAGTATGTCTGGCGCCTAACAAAGACCCGTGAACTGCAAACACTTGAAAACCAGGCTGGCTTCAGGCCTGGTCGTGGCTGCATTGACCACATATTCACCATTCGTCAGATTCTAGAACACAAGCATACTTATCGGCGTCCGATAATGGTGGTCTTTCTTGACCTAAAAGCAGCATTTGACTCTGTTGACCGAAAAGTTCTGTGGCAGTGTCTTTCATTGAAAGGCGTACCTCAAAAGTACATAATTCTTGTGAAGGCTCTCTACTCAGACAGTACCGATTGAGCTTTTGGCGAACTGTCATCTGTTTTTGCAACCTCAATTGGTGTCCGTCAAGGCTGTCCACTTTCTCCGTTTTTGTTTACCTTCGTCATATACCTACTGATGGAAATAGCGCTCACGTCGACTGATTTCTGGGGCATTGATCTCCTTCCAGGAGGTTCACTCATTGACTTAGAGTACGCAGATGATATAGTCCTGTTTGGTGAATACGCTGATAAAATGCAGTCTTTTGGTATCACTAAGCAACTATGCCAGAATGTTTGGAATGCACTTCTCTCCCTCGAAATACAAGTTTTTGCTTCAGGATTGGTCTGCGTCAACACCTGAACTAAGGATAGACAGTAAAGTAATCAAACACGTCGACAACTTTACTTATCTTGGAAGTCTGTTCAGCCCTAATGGGTTGGTGTCTGACGAAATCTCAGCTCGGATTCGAAAAGCTCGCTTGGCTTTTGCCAACTTACGTCACCTATAGCGAAGAAAAGATATCCGTCTGTCAATTAAGGGACGAGTATACTGCGCGACAGTTTGTTCTGTATTACTTTGCAGCCGCAAAACGTGGCTATTAAGAGTAGATACTCGATAGCTACTAGTATTTGATTGCAGATGTCTTAGAAATATTGCTGGCATCTGCTGGGATCACCGGGTAAGTAATAGTGAGGTTAGACGCAGGGTATTAGGGAATGATGGTAAATCAGTTGATGAGGTTGTGAATCTTCATTGACTGAGATGGTTGGGCCGCGTGTTATGTATGCCCGAACACTGATTACCACGACGTGCAATGCTAACCGGTGTTCGGGATGGTTGGAAGAAAGTTAGGGGCGGCCAAACCAAAACGTGGCATCAGTGCTTGAAGTCGGTGACTTCTAGTCTGTGACATGTTGGTAGATGCAGACTACTTGGTTGGGGTCCGCGTGACTATCGTAACCAATGGTCCGAGACCCTTGGTGACATGGCTCTGAATCGATCACAATAGCGTAGGTGTATACACTCTCTGTCTTCCCTTAAACTAAGAGATTAAAATTACTTCATATCTATCTTTCTACGAGCTAACTTTCTTCCTGTACTATATCCTTATATGCAATCTTTCCTTTATATATTACATCATTGAGTTAATCGCTTCTATGAATTTGGTGTTCATCTTGCTATGCTAATGAGGTGTGGCAACTTGGACCGATGCACATATGTGCCTGGTCCTACGTTGTAACTGACTGACTGACTGAAAGTATGTTCGGTACAGAAACTAGTACACAGAACTACCAATAAATTCTCCAAATCATTTTGTGCATGTAACCAAATTTAGTTGCATCTTCCTCACTTGTTAATTATTCACCGAAACAGCTTGGATGAGCAACAATGTAATCATTTTTTAATATATTGACACATTCGCTTGAACGGTGTTTCAGAAAATGGTTTTGAATGTTGTGATACTAGTCAATAGTTTTAGAAGTCCTTTATAAAGGTGGAGACAATAATTATTCATACCGGACTGTAAATTTCGTTTCTAGATGTCAATAATTAGTAGCTGAAGATACCAGGTAACATGGCTCAAAACGGTTTAAAAGGGTAGTGAAACATTCGTCTTTTATGACTTAAATTTCAATTTTTAACATTAATACTTCTTTCGGCTTTATCATATTATGTTACTTACGTGGTGCTCTATAAATTTGTTGCCGTTATTTTGACTTCTATACTTTCCTTATGGATTTTTCTGATAGCGGTTTGACGGTTTGTAAATGTATTATTTATTGGAGACCTGCTGATGTTAGCGTCTCCTTAAAGGCTGACCCATGCTTCGTGAATGTTGATCAGATGAATAATTTTCAGTCTTATTTGAGCACTAAATTCTGGTTACAGACTTCGAATTGCTCGCTTTAATTCAGTGTACTTGGTCCATCCTTGTGACGTATTGTGTCGTTGTGACTGTCTTGTGTATGAACCATAGATTTAACGACCTTACTTAACAGACCTTTTATAGTTTGCGGAAAGTCAATTCCTCAACAGCGTGCAACATCGATAGATTACAAACGTCCCGTATTTGAACAAACAGCTTTTGTTTAAGCAATCTCATCATTGTTTCTTTTGCGTATGGTCTGGTAATTCTGCACTGAAAGACTTTATCTACCCTCCTCTCTTGGTCTTTTGATTTCATAACAGTAGTAGAATTAATAGTTGTTTCCAAGGTCTTGATATTTTCTGCTTGAGGTGTGTATACTACTTATGTCGACAGACAAGCAGTATACAGCACCGATCAGAAGTGGAATGCCTGTCAGCAGAAGGTTCGGGAGATTGAATCAAATAGAACAGGAATAAAAAGTAATTGTTATGGAAATGAGGGAATGATGAAGTTTGAGACACTTGATGGAGGGTTTGCAAATGAAGGACTCTAATTTCGTATCAAGATACAATTGCTTGTCCCCACCTGAGATCTTGATCACTTCAGAGGATCAGAATAACAGAGCTTCGAAGCTGTGAGCAATCCTTCGCATTTCCATTCTGTGCTTATTAATTTATCAAGCATTTTACTATAACCCTCTTCATCGGTCAATAAGGAAAGCTTTCCGTGAAGTATCCTTATACTTTCTAACCTCAGGATAGATTGACCGCAATCAGTGATGAGGTATTCTCAGTTTATAGTTGAAGATTTATCGTCTCAAATCAGCAAATTATTACACCTAAATATAGGAAGTTTATGACTATTGATACTCAAAATAGAAACCTTGATAGGTTTAATTGTAGGATTGGGATTCAATGACTTCAACTTTCCAACTGAAATGATGGACTTTATACTTTTAGTTTCAACAATAAAATCGTAAAAGCATCACTGGACAAGTATAGCCGTTTCTGAATATGAAGTGAATTACTGTAAGTTGTGAATAGGGATAGTATATGATTATTAGAATCACTCAAACTAATGGGGTATGAATTACAAAGTTTGACATTACTAGCGGCAAAATAAACAGTTCTACAAACTGACTTACTGTGTCCGTTTTTGTCACACTTAAAGTATTTCACATGACGAAACACCTGATTTACGGAAGTGAAATTCACCATAGTAAACATTCGCCAAACCTATCTGTACCTTCGAAATACTTATTCCAACAATCAGTTGATCACGAAGTTGAATTCCCAACTGGCCTCTGAAATTGCACTTCGCTGCCTGTTTCTATAGTTTAAGCATAAAGTCTCTAACTTTCTAATCGTTTTGTCACATAGTCTTATAAAATTTTGATTTTTGCATTCAAAGCTAGCACACTGCATTTAACTAAGTAGTGATTCCTTGAGAGATTCATATGATAATGAAATTGGTCTCCCTGGAATAGCCGGATTCTTTAGCATGTTATACGCTTCCTTGCCAATGAATGTCAGGAAATGAACTGTGAATCTACCATCTTTCATATCTTTTCCAATTAAGCGCCAGATTCTAAACCTCTTCACTTAGTCTACAAAAATATTCTTATTTAAATTAACACCCAGCTGTTCAAAATTTGATCCTGATCACGACTGCAGTATGATAATTAGAAGTATTTGGGTTAACTTACTAAACAAGAATTCCCGGAGTAGTGCAATTTAGAGCAGATAGTTACAACATGAATTTACAATAATGGTGTGTTGTCTCACTTCACAATACACGAAAGCGGTTAGAGCGCTATTCTGAGGAACAAAAATACTGAAAAATAATTCAGTGGCAGGAAGATGTATAAGAAGATACATTAGTATTGACTCACTTGTGTACTTTGAGGTGACTAATGCTTTTACTCTTCAAAAACTGAAAATTTCCCAACGCTCTTCATAACAACGGGGTGGGTTAATGTTTCCTGTAAGAACCGTCGAATAATTACTCCGAGGAGTCCCTCTTTAAATCTTGGACGCATTTATCACCTGTTCCTCTAAAACGAAGTTGTAAAGGTGATATTTCCAAGTTTCCGTTCTGGAGACGAAATCAGCCTAGTTAAACCAAAATACTCATGACTTTTATGCAGCATCAAACTACTGTTTTATTTTGGTGACCATGTTTAATAGTGAAAACTAATAAGTATTATCACGGCTCTTAGATTTGTTATCGAATGACTTAATTTTTTTAACTTGTAACTCTTCTACTAATAACACGATGGTTTTAGTAAATGGGAAAAAGCTTAAAAGACATTGATATTAAAAAACCTGGAGCCTTCATGAACCCTTTTCTCTTAATGATCATAGTTCATGTTTGTAGGGTAGCACAGAGATTACTTGTGTTTATATATAGTTTGAGTAAAGACCCAATCTTACTATGGTTTAAGTTGCTGAATTCGCTAAACATTTAGTTTACACACTTTCCTTCGTAATATTTTGATGACTTATCACTGAAGAAAAGAAATATGAATTTATATGATATTCGTCTATTTATCTCTGTGGTTTAAGTATTATATTAAGATACCTATTAAAAATCAAGTGTTTATTTAGTCTCTGAAACACATTTATTGGAAGAGGGAAGTGAGGGATCCGTAGGTATTTGATAGATAATGTCTCCAAAAATATTTATATCATACATGTGAACTACTAAATGGTTACAGTTAATTAGGGTGTCAGATTTTTAGTGAGGACAAATTAACTGGTCTGGTTGTAAATATGTATTGATCGAAATGGTACAATTACATGGTGGGCATACTCAGTCACTACCAATGTTTGTTTTTGCCTGAAATAAGCACTAGATCAATCCGACTAAGAAGTCTAAGCAGTCCATATATTGAGCAGCGAACCATCGTCCTATGGTTTTATAATAATATTCAGGCCTTTATTATATAGGTCAATGACCGATAAAACTCCTATCCTGCATCATTAAATTGTTTGATGAAGTCTTATACTTAGTTTTATATTTCATATTTTGTAAGTAAGCTTGTTATTTTACCAGATAAAAATCTGTCCCATTGCCGAGTCTTCTCGTTATTTGATGGCAGTTAATTCTGATGCTTGGGTCAATAGCTTAATCTATCTGCTATAAGGAAAGACGTTTTAGCTACTAATACTACTGATTGTCTCACGTATGTGAGATCTAAGTATCCTAGCCATGATTGTCTAGTTTGATCATAACTTTCTTTAATAACCACCCTTTGTTTCAATGAGCATGAAGTTTGAAGTTAGTCTAATGTGGTGCCACCAAACATGAAACTGTCAGCATCCAACAGAAGAAATTATGGACTTCAGATTACTCAGAGGATCCGTCTGTTTGTAATTCATGTTCGATAGCACAGTTATTAAGTCGCTCTTTTTCTTTTTTCCAAACACAAATATGTGAATTTAAAATCTTAAAATTAACTTTTGCATTTGAAAATTGTTCCAGACACATGGATGTTGGCGCTAAGTGGCCTTGTGCCGTATGTACGTATGACAATTGGCCAGCAGCATTTAAGTGTACTTTGTGTGGTACACCAAGAAGCTCAACTCTTATCGAAGATGAAATGCAACGTTTGCATTTGTCGTCTAAAGATTCTGAAAAAATTGACGAGTCTTGTGCCGAGGCTGTCTTCGATTCTACGCAACTGATAAAGTGCCAGTCATGTACTTATCTTAATCAACGACAAAATTTTAAGTGTGAACAGTGTTTTCAGGTTCTCTGTGACTCACCAGTTTTAGATGCTGAAGTTTTCAAACAAGCTTCTTCAACATGGTTATCCTCTTCTATTACAACATCTTTGTCACCATCCGGTAAATGGACATGTATTGAATGTACATATGAAAACTGGCCTAAAAGTAAGCACTGTGTGATGTGCTTTGCATCTCCACCACAGCCAATATGTGTAGTTGATTATGAAGATACTGAGAGCAAGAATAGTAATTCAACATGCGTTTCATCTAATTCATCTAGTTTAAATTGTAATCGGCGCCCAAAATCAAATATTTCATATAATACGCCATTAACTTCTCGTGATCGTTTATGGCTGTCAGCATGCGTTGCTGTGGTAAACGGTGATGTAGCACCAATTGAGCGTTACATACTTGGTAATGGTAGAATAGAACGAAAACTAACAAAACACGTGAGTGTTTTATAGGTAAAGAATTTTAGTTTATACGTATTCCTTCTTAAAATTTTACAGGCAAAATAAATTCCACTTTTGTGGGTACTGGTCTGGATCAGTCACTTTTACGAAGCTTTTTGATTATATAAAACATGTTTTCATTTGCTATTATGGTTGTCAGTATTCTATAGTGTTTTTATATTGTTTGGGTTATTAAACAGAAATGTACGAAACAATTTTTTCCACAATACTCAACACTTTAAATCATCTCTTTGTGTAAATGCGTTAGTAAAATTGTCAGGGATTTGTATTGAACAAAACATCCCAATAATTATCTGTTCTAAACATTCATAATTCAAAAAATTGTTGGAGTCACTTATTCGAAAGCTATAAGCCTAGGTTATTTATTTATTAACATTTCTTATCAACCAGGCATACATACAACCTCAAGGAATTTCGTTCTATTAAAGAGGTTCGTACGTCGCGCAGTGACAAAGTCACAGACTCTGAGCTATTCGAGCTATAGTTTTTTGTATGTATAAGCTGTTCAGTCATTATTACTATCTTAAAATTTCAAATGAAATAAATTAAAAGTCCAAAGACCTCAAGCTTTTGTTTTCCTAACTTATTCCATCCAGGCTATTATTTATTATATTATTTAGTTGTTACATCTTAAATCCATACTGCGTACGTATCTAATTAGGTGAGACGTACAATTGTGTCATGTTGACCTCATTAGCTCTCTATTATAAAAGTGTGGTTTTTAAAATTTAGATAATACTGTGAGGGCAGATGAATCCCCATATTTATCTATAAATATAAGACATTTCTGTGTTACTTTTCCGAAGAGAAGAGTCAAATAAGTAATCGAAAAACAGGAAATTTCTGATGACTGGTATTTCTTGCTAATATTCCATAAAAAATCATTGTTTGTGAGTCGAGTATCATATGGTGTATTGCGATGTTAATTATTAATATTTAAGTGTGATAACTTAAACCAAGTGTTTAGGATGGACAATCGTTGTATTTTCCAGTTCATGATTCCCGAATTCTATCAATCTACTTAAGTTAGGTGTTTAAATCCACGTAATTTTATTTGCTTAACCGTATAATCTGAGATTAATGTTTTTAAAACACCTGTAATCAGGTGTTTGGAACCTACATATATCCCTGACTTTCGAAGGTTATATTTAAGGTGATCCTAAATGAACTGCTACACACTACCTAGCCTATGTTGCTACCATGCACAAGTGTTAAAAAGAGCCTACAATAGAGTACTCTACTTTGACACACTTCTCAGTAATATTTATCTCCATAAAACCTTTCAGTCTACAAAGTAGATATACACATCGTTACCAAAGCATACATTATCAACATTTTTGGTGTATATTTAACAAGTTATTAGTATATTGGCATAGACATTTTGACGTTTTTTAATATGGTCTGCAGGATTCTCGTTACATTCATTATTTTTACTTGAAAATTTTCAATAGGAGTGCCGCTATTTGAATTCGTATATGCAGTCAACTACCATTTGCGATATATCGACAACTTTTTCAAGTATTGATCATTCTCCAAAACGATTTGATGATGCAAATTTAAGTCAGCTACCCGGCAGCAGCTGCTATTCTCATAAAACAACTATTCCGAGTTGCGAAAGTGGAATTGTTTGCAGTAACCTGGACTACACATCATCAGGATATAAATTTCGATCTGGTTGGACATTGGTGGATCTAGCACTTCGATTCTGTCGTACGGATTTAATCAACTTATTTATTGCTTTAATTGGTCTACAAGCTACTAGTAGCGCTATATCTGTCGGTTCTGGATCTAAGCATTCCACACTACCTGTGAATTCGTCGAGTACCGCTTCGGTCATTACTTCATCGAATAGTACTACCATTACAACTAACGTCACAGTGTCCGTTACAACTTCAAATACTTTTTCAAGCAATAATCTACGTAACTCCACATTAAATCCTCCATTTCAAGATACTCAGCAAACTCACAGTAGAAACATTCAAGTAAATCGTAAATTAAGCAGTCCACTAACAGGAAATCAAATACATCCGTCACTTCAATTAATTTTGAATCGAACACCAGGTAATATAAATAAGACTCAAGTCACTAGAAGTAAGTGGATGCCGTGTCAAGCTAGCCCTCATATTGCTGGTGAATTACGAGATCTATTGGCAAAAACGGTAAAACATTGTAAAGGAGACTTTCCATGCGCTTATTTTTCTGAATGGGGAACTTTTGCTTTGCCTTATTCAATTACAAAGTTTCCTGCTCCAGTAAAACAATTGCTGTTATCGGAATTATGCGATATGCAAGCTCAATCAGGTTCGTGATGTTTTAGTTGTGACTTTATGAGCTGCTTGTTATCACGTAAGATATTCGCCGATCAAAATACGACTTATTCGCTCTCATACTGTACTAAACCAATGACGTTCGATCGGTCTGATCAGCCTAGCGTCCTATTGGTCCGTTACTCGTCTAGCCCGTCCAGCTGAGCCTCCACTATGCGAATCATTTATTTCAGACATACTGGGTTTATATAACAAACAAACAGACCGCAACGCACCATAACGTAGGAAATAACATTTATACACAATAAAGCCAAAAGTGGCTGTGAACGTGAGGCAGTAGTCAATAAACTGAACATAGCTTAAGAACAGTAAATCATACAATAATAATATATAGGTCAAAATAAAGCTTATAACAAGGGGAATATAGATACACATAATCTAGTTACTGAATATTTATACCATAAGAATATATAAATAATATTAGTCCATTAGTATGTCTCAGACGTTACTCGTAATGTAATCTTCACTAGGATATAACAATTTTTAATGTCAAAACTGTATGAATTGTTATAATTTAGAACACCAATTTTGCTATTCACCAGTCTCGGATTGACTAAATTACTGTTTAATTACTGATTCGAAAGCGATATAATAAAAGTCACTTTCTAACTTTAAGACGTTTACCTTGTTCATCAATGGACATGCATATTCACTATCAATTTGATTAACTCCAAAAATGATTCCACTTTCCGATCACTGGATTCTTACCTACTGGATCAGCAGTAACATATCTTTTTCGTCTTTCTAAACCCTTACATGTTTCCGTTTTCTTTTTCACTCGACAAGATTAAAGCTCAGCTGTATCGAGAACTTATAAAATATATAGGACACTAAATTGTATCAGTTAATTTTACTAATTTTGTTCACTGTTCTACCGTGGATGTCTTTATTTCTGTCTGTGAATCCATTTCATTTCATATTGATTATATCTAAAAAAAGAAACTGTAGATCTTTGACGCGAATATGTATGACAGTTTTAGATGTGCGTCATTGTAATAGATGCACATTACACACCGTATGTGTATGTGTGTGTACTTATTTACTGATTTCCTTAACGAAAAAAAACACAAAATGTGATTGCATACACATTGTTTTACGTAATACATAAGCTCTTTATTATTTTGGTTATATGGAAAACTGCACTTATCATGTGATAATCTTAATAAACATACACTGATACATTATGTGTAAAAATAAACAATTAACTTTCAACTGAATCATGAATGAGAATTCTGATTTGTAACTTTTACAACGAAATATGAAAGAACACTTCAACTTAAAAAAATAATAATATTCATTTGAATAACAATTATTCCCTTGGCAAGAAGAAAGTTAGCAAATGTGCGAAGTGATTAAATAACATAGTAATCGCGGTAACAAATTGAAGAATGCTTTCGTTATTTCTCTAATTACTAAAACTTACAAAAGAAATATTCTGATTTGTTCAATACTGAGAGATCATCAAGAATTACATAACGATAAACTTCGCATCCGAATAGATTGTCGTGATAGTTCGTAGAAGCTGGTTCAAATTGTCCAAATCTCCGACAGTATTATTTACAAGACACTTCACATGATCCACATTTACCAAATACTTAAATAATTTCTTAGTGTATCTACTAGTAATATCATGTTCCAGGTGTGTTGACGAATTCTGTATTTTAACAAGGACGCTTATATTCATAGGAGTATAGATTCCATTATCCTATGGATCTTTAATCATTTCATTTTAATTATTCGGGATCATAGAAATCAGTTCACTCACTTTGTTGATATCGCAAGATTAACCGAGCCTTGGGCAGTGAACCATTGTTTGTTTTATTATTCTTATACCAATTTACAAGAATGTCCAAGCTGTGTAAAAAAAAGTAGTGGAGACGTATTCGTAGCTTTTCCTTGTAGATGTGTTATTGTTTATTTCCATCTTCAAACGAACCACTGAGAAGTTTACGGTTCGTCTTTCTTTACCTACTGATGCTCCAAAAAAGTATGATAGGATGTAGTTTAAGTGTTTCGATTGTCTGAATGAATACCTTTTTATTACGAAGACATTCAGCATCAGCAAACAGTTTGACAAATTCTGTTACTGAGTTTTTCTTCTCGATGTTAACTGTAGAGTTGGAAGATGAAGCTAAAGCAATTAATTGGTGGTTTATTCCTGGACAAAAACAATCTAGTCGTCTATTTGCCTTGTGGAATCGAACAGCAGGTGATTGTCTGCTAGATAGCGTTTTACAGGTTAGTGCTTGGTGAATTAATTACTCTTCATTTAAAAGAACAACTATGCAAAATAGTCAAATGCTCTTTACATTTGTGTATGAAGTTATTCTAAACGGTTGTTGTATTGTAAAATAGAGAAGCAACATTTTCAGTTTGCTTACCAAAAAAATCAGGTTTCCCAGTTTAAATCATGATCTGATTGTCGTTGAACCAACGTTAAAAACCTGGAAGTACTAGACGGTCGTTTTGTCCTAGTATGGGACTCCTAAGCGCTGAGCATTCATGACCACACATCCAAGAATGGAACCCAGAACCTTTGGTCCCGTGGGCGAACTCTTAACCTCTAGACCACTGAGCCAGCCCTCAATGGCGTTCATGTCTAACTCCAATGAATCCACGTTGTTACACAGCCCTCATGCATGTTTCTTTAAGTTTTTTTACCAAGATTACAAATGATAAGTTAAAAATACACTGGTACTTTCTCAGGACTTCTGCCCACACTTTAGATTCATCTAACAGTGTGCAAAATCTAATGCTCCTGAAATGATTACTTTCAACTTTGTACAAAATACCTGGTCTCGAGTTGCAGATTTTTATTAAGCTTCTGGGTACATGGTGGTGAGAGAATGTAAAATTGAAATACAATATGTGAACTATTCTTTAACTGAAATTATTGCGTTTGCTCATAACCTCTTTGTGTCATGTTGTTTTTTATGCAGTTTCAGTTATTCTAAATACTTTCTAGTAAACAAAGTGATTGAATTGTGAATGGATATATCTTCTGTTTTAGGCTTGTTGGGGAGTATTTGATAGAGAGAATTGTCTACGTCGCACACTCGCTGACAGTCTTCAGAATTGTGAAGCAAATTTTTATCCACGCTGGCGCGACTACGAAGCATTACAAGCTGCATGTCATTATATTTTAGATGAAGATCAATGCCGAAGGGACTGGGAAAATGTACTAACAGCGGCATGTCAACCACGTAAGGTTACTAATAGGATTATGTCATAGAGATTGGATTTTTCTACGCTTTTTATTTTTTAAGAGTTTAGTCAAGATTCACAATGGTAGTACCACTCATGTGTCATCTTCCATTGGTTACTGAAATGCTTGACTTTTACTGATAGTTAAACTTTGTATGTTTATCAATCACGATAAAACAGAACAAATTATATGTTCTTTTCTCTCTGAAGTCTTGTTTTATGTATACTGAAGTTGGTTTAACTTTCATATCTTCTGCATACCCAACACTATCCTCTCTAGTTACACTAACATATTTTGCAATCGATCGGCGTAGCATGGAAACTTCCATTTCTCAAACTTTCAATTGAAATATCAATGAGTCAGATGATCGGTTACAATCACTGTTTATCATTATGATTTCTAACTCATGTGATTATACAAGATAAAGTACAAAACCACTATGTACCACACTTTTTAAATACCAAAAGTTACGTAACTAAGATATTTTTAACAAAACTAAGTAACTTATTTGCGTTTGACAATAACTAATTAGTCGAAACATAACAACACGTATAAAAATGTCATAGAACAGTTGTTTGATAAATACTGCCTAAAATATGTAAACTAATTTACTTATAAATAATTATGTAATGCAGTATTTTCCTTCTTTTCTCAACGTCAACAACTTTGTAAATTTAATTACCAGTGAGGCTGCAAGAATGTACACATTCCAAAGACTTACCGCATTAGTAGTACTGAAAAACATAATTACGTACTTGATTGAATTAGTGATTGATATGTAGTGAGGGGAGCCACCTGACGTCATAAAGTTTAACTCCCCAATTCCGCCTTGCATGTTATCTGTTTAACTATCAACGCTAACATTTGAATCTGTTGGTGCATTTCGAATCTCTGAATGAATTCCAAAAGACCCTACTTCTGATTAACTCTCTTATTTTATTGATCATGTTTAAAGCCAGTAATAGTTGTGATTTAATTTCAAGCAGTCTTTTAACTCATGCAGTACTTCAAATTGTAAAATAAAGTAACGCAAACTTTTTAAAATTTATTTCCATCGATCTACTGGCTTTCTGTAAAATCAACCTATATAATCTGTATACTACTAGCAGAAACAAGTAATCAAAGACTATATTTTATGGACTGGGTGGGGTTTATGACTCCAATTTATGTAATCGTTTGTAGGGAAAATTCTGCTCAAGTAAATGGACTCTACGTACAAAACTTTATTAAGATTTATCCAAAAAATAATTAACTATTTAAGTTATAGGTGACGATACAGTTATCGTCTTCGTGTATGACTTTGTTGCTACTCCTTTCGTTTGCTTTCCTTTTCCTTTTTCTTCCTCTTCTTATCATTATTACTACTTTACCTCTTGATTAATATGGTTTTATTCTAGAGAAGAAAACCTCTTCAACATACATATCTCTGGATGATTCCTTTCAAAGTTGAAAATAGTCAAATATATTTATTGTCCCTAGTTACAAACACTTCATCTTATTTGTTGTTTGAGAATTTTTCAAAGAATCACATAATGAATAAGTGGCATTTTAATTTAATTTAGAAAATTATTAGTAGTAGTGAATAAGTTATATAGAATAAACATTTTCCAAATAGTTGATTATTGAAAATTACATAAATCCCATACATTTCAGTCCTCAAGTTTAAATTTAAAAGAAGTCAATGCAATTTATCATTTACTAGTTTATTTTATTGACTTCAATGTGAATTATGAAAGTAAATGTTTCCCTAGAAACTAGCGAACACACTTTTAAAATAAAATTTTCATGTAAATACACATAAAGTGAATGTCCATCTGTACAATGTTTTGTGTATTTATTTGTGATTGTCGATTATAAATTTCACCAATTACTCTTCATTCAGATGAAGCTTTAGAACAAATCCATATATTCGCTTTAAGTCATGTCCTTCGCCGACCAATTATTGTATATGGTGTAAAGTACATAAAAAATTATCGTGGTGAACCAATAGGGATAGCTAATTTTCAAGGTTAGTTTATTATCCTGCCTGTATCTTATGTATAAGTGCTAATTTTTATTAGATCAGTTCTTCAATCATCACCGTATCCTTCAAATATATTTTTAACCATCATCACCATACATTTACTGTCATGTGATATTGATGTACTATCAAGGATTTTTTGCAGAGTTTAATGGCTTACTATACTATTTGACATTTAAGTTGTTAATATCATTGCTTCTAAATTATTTCTTCTTAAGTAGTGAATAATAGTAACTAACAGTGGAATAAAAGGGGTATATTTTAACTTCATTAGCTAAATATTATTTTTCATCTTGTTAATTTTAGGTTTTGTTCGTACTCCTTAAAATGCCCACATTATAGTAGTTACCTCATGTGTTATTATTTGTTAGAAAGACAAAGTTTTTTATAGTGTGGAAGTAAACATTTGCACTCGGCGGTATGCGGGTATATTCTGTTCTCTCACTTTTGAATGAAAAAAAACAGACTACCGCTTTCATTAATAGGCATTCCAAAACCATAGTCAATAATCGACATATTTATACTCATAAGCAAAAATGGATGGTGACTAGCGGTGGAATCAAGGACGCCCGTTTCGTCTTGCTTGGGACTCATCAGTTGGATGTACCTACATCCCAGAGTTGATGTTCAATCCGGGATAACGCGATGACGTTTGAAGTGAACGGTACTGGGTTCGAGTCCCAGAGTGAACATCAACTCTGGGATGCAGGTACATCCAGCTGAAGAGTCCCAAATAAGACGAAACGCGCGCCCTTGATTCCACTGCTAGTCATCATCCATTTTTTGCTCATAATCTTGTGGCCAAATCGAGGCGATTTGCACAGAATGTACATATGCCAATAAGAGACTAATCAACTGCAGTCATAAACATCAGTGGGAAGACTCAAACAAAGAATACAAAAGTATTTACACTTACATTGATCTTCCAATGAGCTAGAAAACTGTTCAATGCAAGTAGAAGAGATTATTCGGGTTAGCTTAAATCTAATCAACTGGATATGTAAAGAAAATTTATCGGAGCTTTAGGACATTGTCTTTAGTGTAACGCGATAACTTTCCAATTGTTGTTGAAATAGACAGGATTTCACGAATAAAGCTTATTTATTTATTTAAACCGTTCTATGACACAATGATAGAGTAAAACGATTTAAATATAAAAGTGAATTTATCTATTTTCAGTAGATAATTTAGTAGTTGTGTTGATTTGATTAATTCTTACGAGATAACTGAAAATTCAGTTGACTCGAATATTTTAATTAAAATGAATATTCAAATGAATTGGAACAATGTGGTACCCAGTAACCGAAGTCGATTGGTTCAATTTTTCATCATCATGCTTTAAGAACAACTCAATTTTAACGCTCATTTCATAATTTCAAATGAATGTTATTTGGACTTTTTAAGACAATTATTGAATACACAGTATTTATTCAGGCAATATTTATTATAAATTAATGTTATCTGAAGAGGAATTCAGTAAGAGAAAACATCTGAATGAAGTTGAAAATATCGACCATTGTATTCTGATGTGGTCGTCTAATGGTATTGTTATCTATAACGAGACACGAAAGTTCGGCCCAGTGATGAAGAGTCGTATTTGTGCATTACTGAGTTGAGTAGTAGTTCTACGCCAAAATTAGACAGTTGTATAATAGTCCTCCGTGAATGTCGTCATCTGTTATCAATGCACAGTGAAATCACTTAAACTATAAGATATATCTATGAAGCCTCCCGATTTAACGAAACTTTAATGTTTGTTTCATCCGTTGTTAAAAGTCTTCACGTATAAACGCGATTGCTGTATTTTCAAATTATTTTTAGGTATTTACCTCCCACTTCTCTGGGAAAAATGCTCTTGTTCTCGGAATCCCATTGTTTTGGGCTTTACTCGGGGTCATTTTACTGCGCTTGTACCCATTGAACCGTGCCCCTTATCCTCGAGTGGTGTAAGCAATGAGTCAAATGCAGATACCAACCAAACAACTGGGGTTACCTTTTCACCACATGCTTCTCCTCCTACATCTTCACGTAAACATAGCCCTACACCCCTGGATGAAACAAATAATTATACTCAAGTGCCACTCACTACTGTTCCTCTTTCAACATCCCTTTCAGAAACGCAACTAGTTTCTTCAACAGAACCATCGTTAGCCAGCTGTGGAACAACCTTACCTGGTGCGATAGCTCAACAAAATGCTTTTGTATATCTTCCACTCGTTGACAAACAAGGAGTTTTGTTACCAATACATTTCACTACAGAAAAAGAGGTAAAATATGTTCTCAATTCCACTCTAAAGAATAAAGACAACCATTGCGAAGCAATTATGTTAGGTTATTCTTCAGGAACTTTTTTTTTCAATCAAAGTTTTTTAGGCATAATCTCTTTGTAATAATGTATCAACAAAGTTGGATTTAACTGATTGATTGTATTGGACGTTAACTAACAATATGTTTACACTGAGGATCTATGTAGCTGTATTACATTTTATGGGATATATATATATATATATATATATATATAGTTTGGAGTTCAGTTGCACGTCATGTGTCGTCAATGGTTTGGTTCCAAAGCTCTGGCTAAAGTTCGGATAATGGTAATATGGAATTTCGTCTAAAGTATATCCAATGAAGTAAAGTGTATGGATTTTTTCATATTGACAGTCGACTTAAGATAACAATTATGAAAGCTAAGTTAAGCAGTGACCTTATACAGAAAGCTTTGTATAGCTAGTGGGTCGAGTTGCTCGTATTTTTATTAGTTGTCACATCACCAGGTCAACATCTAAGTATTTACAACTTTTGCCTATTGTAATATGAACTAGTCTTAGTAAGATGCTACTCGCTGTATATAACTGTAGATTTCAAAATATTTACTGAAAGCCCCCTACTAAGTGAGTATCCGCTAATTTTTAGAAATCAGTTTAGAAGTTCGGTAACACTTAAATCCTGTCATTATTCCATCCCAAAAAAAGTCCTCATCAAAGTACACATCAGCCAACCTAATTTTGAAACATCGAGCGAGATCACCGTTACAGGAACAAAGTCCATTATTTCACATCGTCTATTTTGATAAAAATGACTGACCTATAAGCAAATCAGGGTAGCAAAAGTTTTTACCTTTTTATAATTCGCCGTAAAATGTTAACAATCATATGATACAATAAGAATTGGCGAAGAAATCAAACTTTAAAAGACTAATATTTGAACGATTAAAATCAAACTTTTCTTCTGTATTTTCTCCATTATTGTCTAGAAACGACCAAATGTAGTTCTTGGCGATTACATAAACTTGTATTTGGTAATTAACTTGCATTTTTAAAATGAGATTATTATTATTACAGGCTAGAATGTCCCATACACTTCTTCAAGAATGGTTAGATGTGGTATGTACAAGACGGGGGTTACCGCTTGCCCGATTACGATTACATGCAAAACATACACTTGTTGATAACATGGTAGAAGAATGGCTAGATTCCTATCGTTCGTTAGCAAAATTATCTACAAATAGTAATCCTATTACATTAACTACGCCATCTAATATCAATAATATCAACGCCGCCACAACTACTATTTCTTCTATTACTGGCTCTACAACAATTCAGCATGCTCATCTCGTTAGTGAACATTCATCATCATCAAATTCCATATCATCTGATACAGATCAAGTTGAGTATACTTCAAAATCAACATCATCATCTTTAGATGCACTACGCAGCTCTAGTCCCTAATCTTATTATAAAGCTATATGTTGCTGATAATTTATTTGTTGTGAAAATTGGTCAAGTTTATATTCAAGGAAAATGTCAACCAACTACTTGCTTTTTAATATATTGTGGCTGTGATACATTATATTCCCTTGTTTGTTTGTTTTTTCGTTAATAAAAGGCTGTTTACTTCCTCATTGTATTCCACTTTTTAAACTCCTCTAAAGATATTCTTTTTAGTGGGCCCATTTCATTTTCTTTTCTTTTTTTTCCATTCCTAATGTGTATTTTTGTTCATTTACTGTTATTATTCAACAGATATATTTACCCTAAAGACATAATAAACATGTTTGTAATGAAAACATGGAATTGTTTTAGTTTTTCTTTTTAATCTTTTCAAGTTTCAATATAATATTAAACAAAAACCAATTACGCACATGTGTATAAGTAGAGTTTATTAGTTAAAAAAAGATTTGATGAAATCATTGTTTCTCCTCTGTATACTGTTAAAGTGTTTAAATATTCGTTATTCATTTACTATTTTTCTTTTGTATAAGTGTGTATTTGTCTGGGCGCGTTATTTTGAAAGTTCTTATTTTATTTATAGAATGTTATTATTAGCATTATTATTATTATTATTATTATTATTATCCTCGGTAATCTTCCTCTTTAGTTTTATTCATTATTTATTTAGTGAATTACTTTGTCATTTTGTTGTAGCGATTGTGTAACAGTCAAATTAATTTTATTTTCCATTTGAAAATCATAATGTTTTTCTATTAGCATATTTTGATTGCTTATTTGATAGCAAACACATACATATACAAATATAGAATAATTTACCACTATTTTTATTATTTACACAAATTTCTCAAAGATTACTATTCTTATCACATTGAGATGGTTGTTTTTATTCTTAATTAAATATGAGAAATAAATAACAAACTAGAATTTTTCTTGTATTTCATTTTTTCTTGCACAGTCATTCTAATTAAACATGTTAGTTGTAGATATTCTACTACGAATAAGTTTCTACTTTAATTATTAATATGCACTATGGATAAATAGATTTTAGATGTTGTGTAATGTTTATTGCTATTTGTAGTTGATGTTACAATATATGGTAGAGTTTGCAATGCTACTCTCGCTGCCACAGGCATACATCCATTGCAGACAGATTGATGTAGTCTACTGGTCTCTATAAACTTCAACAATTATCTGAACATCATATCTGGCCTATGATTGTTAATAATTTATTTGATGGAAATAAAACTTTATAAACACTTAACCAACGTATAAACAATGAATGGGCTGGGAACACAATAATTTAGCTAGAAGATTCAAACAAAGGAACACTTTTTCACACTTAAAACTCCCAATATAGATATTTTATGAAGTCCATTCATGTTACCTTCATTAAAAAAAGCTTTTATGATTTTATTTATGAGTTTAGTCACAAATTGTTATGGTTTTTTATTATCATAATCCGTCTGAAGTTTATCGTCAATTCTGTACTTTAGTTGCGTCACATACAAATGAATTTCAACGATTTAAATTCAGTTTCGTTTTAACGTTTCACCTTTGACACATGATTTATTTTATGAAACAATTTCTGAATATTAGAATCTATTTTTTGATTGAAATTTACATATTTACGTCTCTATTTTGGAAGTATAACTTAGCTTAATACTCTTATCATTACTTAGTTGTATTGTCAAATGTCAATTTGATAGTTTATAACGAAAGTTTATCATAACAATAGATTCCATATCTTCAACACTAGAATTATGTTATCCTTAATGTTAATTTGATTGAATGTACTCATTAATTTGAATAAAGTACAAACTACACGATAATCTATTTAGTCTTATAAAATATTTGAATTAGTTACTAATTTCAATTATAAATAATAAAACTTAAGGAAATTATTTTAAGTTAATTTCAAACATAAATCCTATAACATTTTATTTCTATTTGACACACCTATTGTAATCAATAATAGAAGTATTATTGTCTTACATCTAACATATAACCTTGATGTAGTTTCAAATTTGCAAATATTTTGTCCAAAAGTATAAATTATCTAAAAGTTATAGAAATATTTGTTCATGTAGAAAGTTTTATCATAAAAAGACAAGGTAATTAAAGCATCTTACAATGTAAAGGTCTAGGGTTCGAGTTCCGTATGCGGGTTCGTGGGTACGCGCTGATGAAGAGTCCCACAATAGGACGACATGGCCGTCCAGTGCTTTCAGGTTTTCAGTGGTGGTCTAACATTGATTCATTCATGATAACAGTCTATATTCTTATAAGTGTTATTACGAAAAATCAGAAAGCTTTAATAAGTACACATAGTAAAACACATCTATCGCCTTGTTAGTCTTAATTTATTGGTTGAACATGCGCTAGTTCCGTATAATTTTTTTTACCACAGTAGCATGTCATAAACTAACTATTCTACTCCATTTTCCATCCGGTCCCAACGTCGGCAAATAATGGGTGATGTGTAAGCCACTATGATGATTTTCATAGTTCTTTAAGCCATCAAAGCCGGTGTTTCCAGTTGATGACACTAATTGCATTGTCGTGGCTGCGTTGCAACGCTCATTGCTGAACTATAACATTATCTACATTGTGTTTCCATTCGATGTCAGCAATCTTTCGGAGATAACGGCGATAAAACAGAGATCTGCCTAACATCCTCATCTGGGATAAGCCATGTTTCGCAAGCCTAGAGCAGAGCTGCTGCGGCAGATGGGATATGAACCCACGCTTGTACTTCCAAACTAGTATCACGATCGTGTAGAAGACAATGTAGATTGATATAACCTGATTGATATAACTGATATAACTTTTCATTATGCGTAGGTTGACCTCAGCAGCCAAAAGACCACTAGCACACACAACTATTCACATGAGATCCTCCTTAATTAACGTATACGGATTTCCCTCAGCCACTATGGGAACTTAGTTGTTAATAATATATTTATTTGTATAAATCCATGTCATTTTACTAGTTAACAATCGAAAGTTTAATGTTCAAGAGGAATTCCGTGGTGGGTTAACGGATTAATTACATGGAATTACAGAGACCTTGATAAGAAACTATTTTCTTTGGATAAAAATAAGGAGTATTCAGCGAAGAAAATTTTTTTGTTGTTGACAAAATCATTTACTTAGGCTGTACATTCGTATTTATTTTACTACTTGTAATATTAAAGAATAACTAGGATGTATTGAATTTATAAAATATTTAAGTTTTTTGTAAAGATCAACTCAATTTTAAGATGAACTCAGTTTGAACATAAAAATATGATCAGTGTACACATTTAAAAACATTCCAGTTAGATACTAAACTTACTTTAAACTAATCCATCTTTATAAACAAAATGTTTAAATTACCTTTGAAAATAATGTCGACTTGATACGACTATTTTTTACAATTTTATTCAGTGTAAAGTCAGAAAAAGAAACAAGCAAGTAATTGATTATTTTGTTTACGATTAAAGCAAGACATTAAGTTATCTGAAAATTGTTTTATATCATTAAACGAATATCCTTTTGGGAAAAAAACAAACAAGCAATGTATAAACCATCTATTCAAACTATATAGGAATCGAACCTATGAACTCACAACAAATAAAATCAGAAATCTGTTCATCTTATATATTAAATACAATCATTTTAGACCAATGATTTCATCTTAGTTATGATCAGGAAACCATAATAACAACTTACATTGAAGTGAATCAACTAAATATGCTGAACTTTTGCGAAGATACACATAGAAACGCTACGAGTTAATAACGAAATGAACAGACAAAAAAGATTAGTAATATGTTGAGCTTTATAAAAAAAATTATTGACAAAAAAAAAACAACAACACACAACTATAGTCATAATGTAAAAATCAAGCCTTTGATAGAAAATTACTATGTATTCATGCTAATTATATGACACCACTTGAAAGTACAAATTCTATCATCCCATTTGATCATATGATTATTGATTTCCTTTTTTTTTGTGTAATATCAGAACGAAAAAATAATCTATTGTAAACTCATATCACATGACATTTTTATGTGCGTCCGTGTGTGTGTGTGTGTGTGTTAAGTTCATTTAATTAATGACTTATACATACTACATTAAGCTAATTACCTTTTTTTAAAATAACTGCGCTTAGATTTAAAGTAACAATTGTACTGTTTTATATGACCATTAGTGGTTTTATTCAAAAATATAAAAAAGCAAAAGTTCTATCACTTTCCCATTTTACACAAATTCAAACTAGAAATCTCAGATAGTAAATAGATTTTATTCATTAAAAGAAGACAAAAAAGTACTGTGTTGATTGTTGTGTTAGGTGTGTTTTTGATCTTAGAAAAGAAAAAAAGACACGTACTCAATGACACTTGAATATTAGTCTGTAATGAATTAATCATTACACTAGATATTTATTTAAAACATCCAAAATACACTATATTTTAGTTCAGTATTTACAAATAGTTGATTTGTCACATTGATATCAGCTGAAATAACATTGAAAACTGCAAAGCAGTGAATAATTATTTTTTTTAGTTTGTTTTGAAGCTTCTTGTCAAGAAGTGTTCAAGTAAACAAACAGGATCGTGCATTAAGATGCGGTGGCGAGCACAATGATTTTGAAAGGCTGTTTTGGTTTTTGTCTGTATACGTTTTCAATTTCATTCAGCTTCATTAGTCTGTCAGTAAAAAAAATTTATCTTCAGATCTAATTCATTACTCATAAAAAGTTAACTAAATTTCTACATGTTATTTACTTGTTAAGTAAATATATTTTGAAAGTTAACTAGAATTCTACTTGAACAACATCGAGTCCCTCTAAGAAAATAAAATCTAGCATGTATACCTTCTCATTATATCAGAGCAATCACATTATCCAATCTATAGTCTTGATGAATGATTACTGAGTTGTTGTAATATTTAAGTCAGTTTATGAATGAAGTCTCATATTCCTTCTTGTAATGAAACGAATGTAAATTTAATGTTGTTCTATGTAATCTCCAACAGGTAGTAACGCTGGCTAATGTAGAATGTTGTTAGTTTTCATAGGGAGTCGAATAAGGCAGGTAAAAAACAGGTACATAGAAATATTTTTAAAAAAGTCACTGTAATTATTTGTTATGCCTTTGTGTGTATGTATGAATGGTAAAAACTTAGTATCATGTTAATAAGTTTTTGACATATATGTTTATTGATTATACTGACTTTTAGTTCCTTGCTGATGATGATATTAGGTCACACAGTGATATTGTCATTATTCTTCACAATGATATCGATCATCATACTACTATGAAACTACAACCTCTACTAAAAACTTTTGATTGTAATCAAGATTCTTTGTTACTTTTTACATTTTTATTTGTGGAATCTTCGAAGTCTGTAAGGCCACCAACTATCGGTTAGAGCCAACTACTTGCTTGGGTTCAGCGATATACTCATGATCAATAGTTGAAAGCTTTGTGTGACAGCTTAAAACAGATTGCAAAAGAGTAGATTCATTCCCTGTTATCTTCTAAAACATGAGATTTAGCTTTGTTTCATACTTATTATTGTAGAACAACATTAATTGTGTCCAGTCTTTATTACTATCATTGAGATGTTCATTAGTTCAATTCCTTTGCTACTCTTCTTGTTGTTTTTATCTAGTATTGGTGATAAAATGTGGCGATCAGCACCGACAGACTCTTATACTAAACACTACGTAGGTTATGACTAATTTATACTCAATTTTTGTAATAACTCAAAAAAAGAACTAAATCTTATCTGTGTTAACCAAGTAGATTTTAGCTATCGAGTACAATAGCTTGCCAAACACTTACACTCACTACATATATATAGGAAGTAGAGCGTCGAATGACGCTAGATTTAATTACATGTTTGTTGTTTTCATGTGTACATTTGTACGAAAACGAAAATCAAAAGGCTTAGGAATAATTAATAAACTGTAAGAACTGTAACGAGAGTTCGCTTTAGTAGTTACGATCAAATTTCATTGTATCAACAATATACAGACTTTATTGCTACTGATTTTACATACAATATCAACAACAAGTGAGAATGCTGTGTGATAACTTATACCGTGTTGGTATTAGATGTTTTAATTAGTAACAACCAATAAATTTGGCTGCCGTCGTCCGATTTTATTGCTTGGACACGGTTGGGAAGAAGAGGTGATGTTAGTTGTATATTAGATCGGTTAACAGAAATTATAGGTACCACGTCAAGGATAGAGTTGTTCATCATGGACTGTGAGCAGGATGAAATCACTAAAGTCCGGACCACTCATCGGCAAACGAATATAATTCAATGTATCTTTCATATCCTGTGCTTCTCACAAAAAGGAAAATGGATACAGACTAATTATATTGTAGTTGGACCAGTGATAGTATTTTAAAGGCATTCTATCTCCTAGTAAAGGCTGAGATTGTTGGACGGTAATGCTTACAGTTCGGTTATCTTTACATATTGAATCTGTATTTCACAATAATCAAAGGAGTTAACGTTTAGGCCAGTATCTGCAACGGTTTCGGCTCAATCGAAATGTTATGCGGGCAGTAGCTTTTGATTTGCCTAAATAATGTCATCTTATTCTGTTGTCATCTTCATGTTCTTTTAATTATGTACATAGAATGTGGGTCTTTCAGTTTCATTTGAGGAAATTGAATTAACCTTTCAACTTCGTTCAACCTCTTCGTTCAATCCATATGTGATTTTTCCTACGCTGAGAAACAATGTTGTAATTTTCATTAATTACCTTACAAATAATGACTTTATTTACTTGAACTGTTTTCACACACTCACTCACCTTCGTTTCAT